TTATATATAATGTATATTATATCGTCATTATCATCCGATGTCTTGCCGACTGGCGTGGGCGATCATGGACTCCACTTCACTCTGTCTTGCGTTGCAGCGATGATGTCTGTCGTTCTTGCTGCTCCCCGCCATGTTGTCAACTTGTCCAGTATCCTTTCCCTCTGCCTGCCTCTGCCTCTCTTTCCATCAAACTTGCCTGTTTTTACTATATTCTCACTTGTATGACCTTATTGTGTTGCGAGCGCCGTAAAAGCTCTACTAAAACTAAAACTTCTAATCTTTGGCACTTATATGACCTATATGTGTTGCAAGTACTGTAAAAGTCTTTGCGTTGGTGGTTGGCGGGCGCTCTGGTGTGGTTGCTCCTTCTTTCCTACCAAACATCTATCACCCTGATCTCTCCTCCTTCTTTGTTGTGTTTGTTACTCTCTTGTAGCACCTCTAATCGTGGGCACTTATGTGACCTATATGTGTTGCAAGTGCCGTAAAACTCTTACTAAAATTTTTTAACTCTCACTAAACCTAAAATCCTGGCTGCTGTATGTCCCCAGATGGAAGACGATGTGATAGCCAAGCCCGGCTACCTCTCTATCATGAAGACGTTTGCCGTGCAACAGAAGGGCGACTGGATTATGCTGGAGTTCTCTGCCCTGGGCTTCATCGGTAAGAGAAGAGGGAAAGATAAGATAAACTTGCAGGGTCCACGAGCAAAATCTGGGTGGATATGCCAGAACATCAACACGCAAAGATTCAGCCTTAAAGCAGAAATGCACTCAGCACATTCACGTTCAAAGACGCACATACAGTGATGCACAACTCAGTCCCACATGCTCTGATGGTGTGGTTTTGCTTTTTCTGTCCTTTCAAACATCTATCGTCCTTATTTCTCCATCTTTTCTAGGGTTTGTTACTCTCTTGTAACACCTCTAATCTTGGACACTACTTGTTTGATCTCTTTGTTTTTGCAAATGCTCGTACTAGAGGGTGGTTGGCAGGTGCTCTGGTCTGGTTTGTTTCTTGTTTCCTATCAAACATCTATCGTCCTTATTTCTCCTTCTTTTCTGTGTTTGTTACTCTCTCGTAACACCTCTAATCTTGGGAACTATTTGTTTGATCTATTTGTTTTTGCAAATGCTGTAAAACTCTAACTAAAACAAAAACAAATTGTTACATATGTTCCTCCCTGATTTTTCCCCCATGGCCAGGCAAGATGTTCAAGGCGTCAGACGTGCCGATGATCGTGGAGTTTTTTGTCATGTTCCACGCGGACAAGCCGATCGACTGGCTCCTGGACCACCTGCTGTGGGTCAAAGTTTGCAACCCGGAGAAAGACGTGGTGAGTGGGAGGTGGGCGGGTGCTCTGGTGTGGTTTGCTCCTTCTTTCCTATCAAACATCTATCATTCCGCTCCTCCCCCCTCCCCCGGGCGATGCCACTGACTGAAGTGTCTTTAGGCCATTCACATTCTTATGCACAGTAGAATTGTAAATGGGCTGATTTGTCAATGTCATGCTCATACTGTGCCGGAACAACATAAGGGGAACTGCTGCTTTTTCTTTCCTCATCCTTATTATTTGTCATTTCCCTCTACTTCTTTTGTATGTTTGTCACTCTCTTCTGAACTGCTATTTCCGGGGTGCCTTGATAGTCGAAGCAGACTCTGTACTGTTGAGACTAGAGAGGTGAGCAGAGTAAGCCTGATTCCCCGTTTAGACTTCTCTGTTGACTTCCACCCCTTAGCGTGGGTGGTTGGTGGGTGCTCTGGTGTGGTTTGCTTCTTCTTTCCTATCAAACGTCTATTGTCTTCATCTCCCCTCCTTTTTTTGTGTGTTTGTTACTCTCTTGTAACTCCTCTAATCTTCGGCACCTATATGACTTATTGTGTTGCAAGTGCTGTAATACTCTTACTAAAACTAAGCTAAGCCACCCTGTGGCGCTCATATGACCTTATGCAGTTACGAGCGCCGTAAAAACCTTACTAAAACAAACAAACAAGATGCTGTCAAGGCGAGTGTTCAACAATTAATTATTCCCCCGTTGTTTTCCCGTCAGAAACACTGCCAGAGGATGATCCAGGGCGTGCGGCGGCGCTTCAAGCCCTCGCTGTTCCAGCACATCGGGGTCGAGTCCTCGCTCAAGGGAAAAGTCCAGAAGCTCAAGGTGAGACAGACGGAGGTTGTGTGTAGATGTGTGGGGGAGATGGAGGGAAGGAAGAGTGGGTGGTTGGCGGGCGGGTGCTCTGGTGTGGTTTGCTCCTTCTTTCCTATCAGACATCTATCTACCCCCTGGAGCGGTGCTACTGACTGAAGTGTTTTTAGGCCGTTCCCAAAGGAGGGATGGGGGCTCTTGTGGCCTAGAGGTTAAGGTGTTCGCCTCTCATTCAATAGGTCCCAGGTTAGAATCCATAACGATGGACATTTTTCTTTTCTAAAATTTTATCCTTTGACATCCTTTCCTGCTCTCTAACAATGTTCTGTCGTCTGTTTTTGCTTCCACTTTCTGCCCTCAACCCCCTCACCTCCTTTGCCCCCTCCTCTGGGCTTCTGACTTTTTCTGCAGTCTTTCTACTGCTACTCCTTGGCTCCTTCTTACAGCTGTCTTTCATTCATACCGTGATCTTCTGGTAGGAAAGATCTAACACCTAGCTTTCTCAGAAAAAGGCGAACAATCTCAGAGGTCCCATGTGCAAGTTGCGCACGTTCAAGATCCCTTGGTTGTCTAAAATGGATAAGAGTAGGCTTCGGCTGCCACCCGGGCAAAATTCAAAATTTCCTACCAACTGAAAATGTTTAATGTGTCCTGCGCGCTCTTTTGACCTTATGCAGTTGCGAGCGCCATAAAACCAAACCTGCCACTTTCCCGATTTTCTTGCCCCAAATCTCAAGCATCCCGATTTTGATCGCATGTATCCCGATTTTTGGGGTCCTTCTGTTTCACCAGATTATTCAAAAAAACGTATTCTGCCTTCATAGTATATTTATGGACAATCCTTGGAAATCTTAAGTCAGCTTGGCAGTCACCCTGGTGGTTTATCGCTGGTCCTCATTTTTTCCCCCCAGATCTCGATCTTTTTCCCCCAGGTCCCCATTTTTTTCCCTTGAGATCCTGAATTTGAGATTTCATAGAGTGACAGGTCTGCCGTAAAACACTTCCCCCCCTCCCCCCCCCCAAAAATTTTTTTTTTAAATGTGTTTGTGGGTGGTTGGCGAGTGCTCAGGTGTGGTATGCTTCTTCTTTCCTATCAAACATCTATCATCCTTATCTCCCCTTCTTCTTTTTTATGTTTGTTACTCTCTTGTAACACCTCTAATCTTCTGGTGCTCATATGACCTTATGCAGTTGCGAGTGCCGTAAAACCTTACTAAAACTAAACTAAAAATGTTGTTTTCTTATGTGTTTGTCAGGACAAAGACTTTGGCAAGGCGGGTCTGTACCGCGCCCACGTGAACCCCCCGGTGCACCTGGCCTCCTCCCTCAAGACGTACCAGAAGTACACGCTCAGTAAAGCCTACACCGGCGAGACCTTCTTCTGGGCCTCCAACCCCTCCAAGGGGGACATCATAGACTTCAAGTTTGACCCGCCCATCATTATAGAACAGTAAGTGAGGGGTGGGGTGGGGGCAGTATGTTTGGGTTGAGTCAATGTACGTGGGTGGTTGGCGGGGGATCTATCAAACATCTGTCGTCCTTATCTCCCCTCCAAGGGGGACATCATAGACTTCAAGTTTGACCCGCCCATCATTCTAGAACAGTAAGTGAGGGGTGGGGTGGGGGCAGTATGTTTGGGTTGAGTCAATGTACGTGGGTGGTTGGCGGGGGATCTATCAAACATCTGTCGTCCTTATCTCCCCTCCAAGGGGGACATTATAGACTTCAAGTTTGACCCGCCCATCATTATAGAACAGTAAGTGAGGGGTGGGGTGGGGGCAGTATGTTTGGGTTGA